ACTAAGGGTTCTCGAGATTATAGGAATCAATGGCTGGAGACCGTAGGTGACATGGCTGAAAATCCATCACAAAAGCACAGATGTAGTTGCTCGTTGACGTTTTCGAAAGCTTAAATATTGTAACTAACTTCCATCTTTCAAATTTTTCTCTTCTCTTGTACGCTTCTACCTACTTTGATGTCAATCTTTTTCTGTTCATTTGCTCGTCTGTGCTACTGTGGAGCGTTGACAATCTAACCCATGCACCTGTATGATTTTATCTATCTGACTTATCTAGTCACCATAATAGACTAATCATGGAGCAACATTTTTCATTTAGTAGTTTGAAGGATGGATCTCAGACATTCGTAGACTAACAGTATGTATTTTTGGATGAATTCACCTATCTCCACTGAACTGGATTATTTTGTGTAAGCCAATTTGAGTTCTGATTAGGGAAAAGTCTCATAGTAAGGCTTGATAAAGATGAGGGAAACAACCGTATCTGATGACTAACAGTACGTTTAGACATTAAAAATGATTGTTTTTGATGAGCTTGCTAGAGATGGTGAACGGTTAGATAACACGGTTCTCTATACTAATGAAGTATGGTTGTCAGATACATCCTTGAATGATACTATGAAGTGTAGCAACTTGAAATGATGCACTTTATGCGAGGTTTTTACACTGGTCTGTTTGGATCAAAAATTTTGTACGGAAATCAGTGAGGAGTTATTTATACATTGGGATGAAAAACCCTGGCGAACGTTCAGTATCCATCCTATCATATTATGCTTTTAGTATCTATTCAGTCACAAACCACAAAATGTTGTCCATCACTATCAGTTCGCACTAACTAGCCATAGTAGTTTAACATTCACATCATTTGAACGACTGTTAAAAGATAACTTTAAATAAAAGTAGCAACATATAATATTACTGTTCTTTTTTGTTCTTATATTTACTATTCAGTCAAACATTATATAGTGGAGCTTAATGTTGTGCCTTCACTTGCAACACCAAGGTTGAATCTTTTACACTCATTACTCTGAATAGGTTAAGTAAGGCAAATAAACCACATTAGATGGTTGCAAGTATGCTTCAGAAGTACAATATACATCAATCTTTCCATGGACATTGGAAATATTTTCTAGTACGGCATTGTGTTATAAAGTAAATTATATTTATGAAATTCAGATGAAATAGAAAAATGAATTTCAAATGTTTCACAATCTTGTAGAAGTCACTTCTAAAGAGATTAAAACCTGTACAAGTTATCACATATTTGAATAATAAGTAGAAATCAATCAGATTAATTGACTTCAAGTAGCGTAATTCATGTATATAACTGATGACCAGAGAAAATACAATACGTTTATCTGTCAGTAGGTTGACTGAATGAACATTTTAAATAGATAGACCTTTATGTACTACCCGTGCAACGAATGCACAACGAAATAAAAGGGAGTAAATCGATTGACTGACCATTCAACTGAAGACGAGGAAACATACTGCTCTCTTAAAATATTTGTGTTTTTCAGAATGATAAAATAATAATTACATCCGGTGAAAATCAAACGAACAAAAGATCAGATCAAATTAGCAAGATATGTTAAACAGCTACTAAACCAATGTATGGTATGAAAACAAATGACTGCATCTATATCATATTAATATAGATGACATAGTATTATTTATACCGGGTGGTGATTCAAGGTTAAATGAAAATTTTGGTCGCAGGGGGACTCAAACCAGCGATCACTGGTCCGATATGCTCTGCCAACTGAGCTACGAGGTCCGACTGCTGACCAGATTTTACTTCACTTCAATCGCCATGATTTTGCCCGACTACCATGTGAATTCCTGACACGTTACTACCACTTGATCGTACCCACACCGGCTGCCCAGTCAGGACCTTTCATCCCAATCCACTTTAACTTGAATTAGAGGGGGAGAGTATCACATTGATCACCATTTTGACTACCTAAGATAGCCGTGGTTTGGAAGACTAGTACTGATACTGGGTGATGATTGAAGGTGAAATGAAAATTTGGACCGCGGTGGGGTTCGAATCGGACGACGCTTACAGTACAACTTATTACTCATAGTCGTATCAAGGCAATCATTTTTCATTTCTCCAATATTTCTACTACTTTTCATTTTTTTGATTTCATTGGCAGTAGGATTTTTCACATATTTGCAGTGTGTTGAATCATTCTTATTATACGTATAAGTTACTGAATTGATTCCGTGGTCAACCTGTCTTCCACCTAACTACACTAGTTTTTAGGCCTGTTACTCTGTCCTACCCTATTGTGGTTGTGTGTTGTAGTATGCATAGCTATGGATGAATTCTTCTCTAGGCTATTCATCTTAATAGGGTGTATCAGTCAAGTTTTAGCTAGATTCCTATGTTCTGCTAACGTGACTGCCTCAATCGATTAGTTTGACCTATATACTTGACCTCATTGCGATTTATGGGATACATCCCTAGCTCGATTACTTGCACATTTAATTAAACCTGCCTTGACTGATGTACAGCGAGACATTTATTGAAATGCGATGGTTTTCTGTGCACACTTATGTCTAAGCCACTGGCTTGTTTCGTTTCAAATTTATCATAGCTATTTCTAAGTGGCTTTAAAGGCTACTCTAACAAATGCTGAGATAATCAATCACGTTTCTTTGTTTTGAGAATAACTAACTTCCCATCCGACATACGGAAAGCTGATTGATTATTTCAGCAGTTGCTAGCGTGGCCTTTGAAGTCGTCCCTCATTCTTCTTGTTCATCTTCAAAACAAACTATGTCCCTTATGCCACCAACTGTGTGTGTGTGTGTGTGAAGAAGTTATGCATTTATCCAAATTTCAACAGGGTAAATGTATTATCTGGATAAGTCCACGCTTTCGGGGGTACAATTTAGTGTTTTAAAAGCAATACATTCCCAACAGTCCATAAGAATATCTGCTAAGACTGAGGATAATATGGAATTATACTATATTAGAGTGGTCAAATTATATATTAACGTAAATGACTATATCGTCTGAAGATGAAGGACAGTGTATGTTAGATGACCTAGAGCGCGATCATTGATTAGGAAGGTGGTCAACAATGTGACCTCCTGCCATAAGTTGTGTTTGCATGATGCATATGATTGTCAGCTGCTGTTTTTCGCAGTGCTTACCAGTTGATGAATACTGAAAAGCACTACACCTAGGTGCAAAGACTCCTGGAAATTGATTTCACACACATTACACCAGACAATTCAACCAGAGTAAATCCATTTCTCAAAAATGCAGTAGTTACAGACTTTTATTAGAGGAATGATATTTCACAGAATGCTTGAGTAATAGAATGCAACCAGTTGCAAAATCCGAAGACAAACTTTATCCACCGAAGTATCCTTATCGTCATACATCGAAGATGAAGTTATTCATCGATTCAAATTGATGTGCATGAATACGTTTAACTGCTTCTCGTGGGGTAGGGGCGAGGTCTAGTTACCTTGCAAGCACAATGGAGATTCGCTTAACTCATGGTAAAACGTTGAAGTGAACACCATTTCAGTTTTATTTTAGTTTCCACCTCAGCTTCAATTTCAGGGTCGGGCGTCATCTTATATGGACGTTATTTTTCAAAAACCTGATAGACCGGTCCCCTCACCGAGCAGGAAATATCCAAGCAACGCTCCCATATGAAAACGAACACTCCTGCCAGAAAGTTCTGTTAACGCCCCATCAAAGTAATCAGTATTATCCCATAAACCGACCACCAAATGTCAGGCTTCAACGCAATCACATTCGCCAGGTAATTGGTTATTTAACCGTACTCACCTCCACGTAAACAGATGTGTGTGGAATGAGTCTCATTAAGTCTTCATAACCTTGAAGACCAAAGTCAAACTCGTTTTCCTGTGGGAACACTCCCCATGCCACAAATATCACATGGTCGGGGCTAACGAAACAGGCATTCTGGACAGGACATCAATCTTGTTTGCTAGGTAAGACTGCACTTATCTCGAAGGGATTACTTCAACCAGAGTAACAACCGGAATAAGGAAGCGGGATCCCCTTATCCTTCGGTCGCACTAGTTCCAGCTTATTGGTCTGAATTCTGACGGATAGTTGGACCATCCAAGCTTTGGAGACATGGGCCACTGATCTTCCGCATATGGATTACCGTTAAGTCGACTTAGTGTGTTGGTTGATGTTGAGTGGGTTAAATGGAGGCTCACCGTCGTAAGGTGACTAACCTCGACCCGCAATCACCAATACACAAACCAACTATATTTTTCCAGGCCAGCAGCAAAAAATTAGAACCACCTAAACGCGCTGTGTAGATCTTCTTTACGTTGGAGCGGGTTTATGCCATCTTGAAAGCTATCCTTAGTTGCATACAAGTTAACGTGTTTCGAAAGCAGTGTTAGATTTTACAGTAACGAACAAAAATACATCAATATGACAAACTAAAGTATTTTACCACCGAATGTTTTTATGAAGAGCACATAAAATTACCAACCTGTGTTTACCTCTATATATACTATAGGTGACTAATATCATAACTTGATTTCACTTGTAAGGGACTTATTTAATCAAAGGATGTTTTCTCGTTGTTTAAGTCAAACAATTCAATCATATACCTCAATTTAATCCACTAGATCAGGTAGTTTCTGCTTACAAGTGAAGTAGTTCAATCACTTTAGTCCACTGAATAACTTAGAAGTACTGATATAATTAATAGTTGAAGGTAAAAATGGAATTGACTAGAACTTCCTTAAGAAATTTCATTACGGATTTCTATACCAATCAAAGTATTCACAAAACAAGGGTCAACGCCAGTACTAATTTAGTTTCGTCTAGATTCTGGTCGTTAAACGACAACAGCTGAAGAGTCTTTCATTCACCAAGGAAACACGCACGTTGGGTTAATCTTATATCAATGACTAATATCAAACGAGATGAGCTTAAAAGAGATATCAAGATGATATATAGCTCAAAAATCATAATAACTATAACTTACATACAACAAGGTAAGTGACGATACAACCTACAAGTGGAACCAGGTATGCCAAGACTCATGCTGTAGTATAACAACTTTCCATAAATTGCAGTTACAAACTCTGCAACTCGATAAATTCGGTTAATATTCAGCCAAAAATCTGGAGTCTGTGAATGTAAAGCAGAGACAAAAAATGCGCCAACTGTATCAACATGAAAAGAATATCTCCTGTACGATGGCTACGGCAGTGCAAACTGCACACTATGTGGTAAATGAAGATTTTGCCTACCCAAATCTCCTGCTTGTCTGACAAGCAGACAAATATATAGACAAAACCAGCGTAGAACCTCACACAGAAGTGCATTAGTTCAAGTTAACAAACCTCATAATATAATGCAAAGAATAAGCTTAGTTCATAGTTCATCCGAACAAGATGGACCTTGGCCTAAAAATATGTGACTGGAAGCTGCTTAGTATATCTCTTTGCTTGGTAACGACTAACATATTGGAACGTCCCATACAGATGATTGTCTGAAATTTGTCGTGAATACACAATAATTTACTGACAGTTTCTACTGCGAAACAGGATAACCAAGTGGTTTTCTGATTACTGCGAACTGATTAATATTTCGTGCGCAAGTCGCAAACATAAAGTGCTATAAAATTCCCACAAACATGAGTACAAACTATATCCTACTTTCATTATATAAGGTGTATTTTACTTGTGTAGTCCTGGCGTAGTATATCAGAACAAATAACAAAATAAACAGATATTCTGTATTATTCCTAAACGTTTCGATCTTGCTAGGAAGATCATTTACAAGAGTATGAATCTAACATTAAGTTTTTAGGCAAATATTCAACTTTAGGTACACTGTGGTACACAAGTTTTGATAAACTAAGTATATCCTACTTTTTACTAGTAGCTGGTGTAGAAATGCCCCTATATAGCAAAGTGGGCATCGTCTACTGCTCCATAGCCTATTGCGAATCCCAACACATAAGGGAAACATGTGTGGTTTTTATCAGGTATTCTGATTGAGGACTTCTGTTTTATAGTTTTTTGGCAGTCATGAGTCCTGTGAGTCTATCAACATTTCCTCATCTTAAGTACAGTTATTATTACAGAACGTCCTACGAAAAGAGGTTTTTACGCCTCGCTTGTTTATTTAACTGAAGGGCACTCTCAAACCAAGAAAAAATGTGTATCCACTTCACCTCTATTGTGTATTTAACGTCACTCCGTAATCATTATTAAGGTAGTTACTTTTGTCACTTTATAGGTAGAAAATCAATCACACAGCTCATAAAGTTGTCCTGTTTTGTTAAACTTGGAAGTAAGACTATTTAAGGCAGTTTAAAATTGATTTTATCTGTGATTTGTTTCGCTAGTGTTTGATTTCTCACACACATTTCATGTGAAGGTGATTGTGTTTACATTAAAAAAATAATAAAAATCCCAATTTTTTTTTTGAGATAATATAAGATGAACATTGTGCAACAAAGAATTGGTTGAAACGTTGAGAGTCAACACTGGAAGTTGGCACATACTTAGTGTGAATGAATGTAAGCTTAAAATTTATGTTTTTGATACGCAGATACAATGTGGCATATAGAAATTGAAACATGAATCAATTGTGACTGAAATGAACTACTATTGTTTTATTTCTAGCGTGTGAATAGTAATAATAATTCTATGAAGTTTGATGAAACTGCAATAGAGTATTTTATCAAATTTATGCATAGTTAGGTTGTGACATTTAGTGGAAATAAAATACAACATATGGCATATGAGGGATAGAGAATTTGCATACTGATACTATCATTCCATCAATGTATTACACCATGCACAATGTGCGAATATGAAGGTTTTCTGGGCTTTTTTCTTCACGAAAGTAGAAATGAGTTGCTTAAGACTTGAACTGATATGACCTATATTTCATGCTAGAAATGCAGATACACCCACTGCCCTTCATTTTTTCATTATTGCATACCGTACCATACTATAAAAATTAACCTCTACTAGCTGATTACTTTTCAGTGTTTTTATTCGGCACGCTGATTTCTTCATATTTATGATGCAAAGCCGGTGAACTATTGTGCTACTATAATCCATTCAAAGTTAGCATAACCAATCAATCAAGTAAAAACAAATACACTTTCAAGGTACCACAGACAACATGAACTGGTCACAGAATGATAACTAATGAGGATACCAAGTTATGAATGCTGATCGAACTTTGCCACTCAACGATTCTAGTACTCATCTAGTTGACGCTTGAGGAGTGTTGTTAATTGAATTGACTTAGCCAGCAACTTTGTTTTCATCAACATCGATGTGTACCTGTTCAATCAATTCGGGCATTTTTCATTAGGCCGATTTATGTGTAATATTTTGGGAGTCATCAAAGGAGTTATAAAAAAAAAACGGTTTCATTATTTAAGGCCATGGTACAACTATGACACCACTCGTTCGTATTTGTGTTAATATGTTAAAAACACGATAGGTAACAGCACCTTGATAAATGAGACTGAAATTTATCGCCCTTAGTTAATCAAACAATTGGTACTAGTAGAATTTCCAATCCTGCCTACCCTAACATATTATATGATAGCTTCATCTGAAGATTTAGTTGAAATTTCAAACTGAATTGAAATAGAATGTCATACATTATAAGCCACCATACACTGACAGAACTTAAAATATTATGATTCCGAAAAATCAAAAGTAGTCACAAAGCTGCAAGTCCATCAAGCACCTGAAATGTCAGTTCACCACTTATTGGAAAGAGGATAAACAGTGAAAATTGAAACTTTTAAATAAAAGAAAAAAGAATTATCATACACACCCTTCCACAAACACAAACACTGGCCTACCTGATCACTTTTTTGTAGGACATTTATGTTCAAATCTGAAGGAGAGGTATCTTGATGTATTAGACTCAGAGGGATACGTTGACCACAGCCAACCCATTGTTTAGTCTGCCAGCGTAGAAGAAACAGACCTGCGACTATGTCACTTGCAACTAAATCCACATCCTAGATGAGGCGAATAGATAGACAGGAAATAAATAATGGAAAAGAAATATATTAAACTAATGTAGATTTATTATTTATTTAAATTGTATTTTATGCAAAACAACTGGAATATTTTGATGAAGTACATAAATGAACCATCGACAAATTAGTAATGAGTAACTTTTATCAATAAAAGTTTCATTTACATACATTAAAATGCCAAAACAACACAGAAATCCATCATCAGTGTACAACTCCAAATGGCTACCGATGCATTCTTACACTATATGATTACAAAGGAATGACATCACACTGAATCAGAATAAAATATGAAGTCGAGAAAAAATAAAGTCATTAGAAGTATTTAAAATACTTGATAAAGAAAACAGAAAAATAAATATTCAACACTGTGTTAAATAGACAGACAAAATCAATGTAGAACCTCGTACAGAAGTACATCGGTTCAAGTTTGCATACATCAAAGTAGCATTAAAAGAACGAGACAGAATTTGAAGATAAAAGTTGATGGAAATATTCATGCTTTAGAAGACGTCAAGAGTGAATAAATTTGCATCATTTGACCGACTTCTAGCCATGTCAGCAAGAGCTCTCGACGACTGATTCCTATCGCCATGGAGACACCAGCTAGGGACTTCATCGACTTATGCTGTGTCTTGATCTGGCCATTCTGAACCCTCTTCTAACCTAATCCAACTTCCTCTGGCATTTTAAATCAAGGTAAGCAGTGGCTCAGCATACACAGTAAGTGTCTAACCCACCCCAGTCGATGAAGGTTCACAACTTCACTGAACCTACCCTAAACAGTGTTCAAGTATGTCTGCCGAACATACATATTACATAATTGATCCTAACTATCACTGACCACCTAACCACTGACGGTTTGCTAGAGTTAAGACATTAGGCCTAACGAGTAGTCTAGCAAGGGAAAAACAAATCACATAGGCAAAGTAAACTTATCAACAATTTAGACTTAAACTAGCTCAACCATGTTACCATTATTACTGTTATCAGTAGAATTATTGTTAATAACGACAGTAGTAGTGGTAGTAATAATAATAATAATTCTATTAGTAATATTAATACTAGCAACAGGGTTGAGACAGAATTCAAAGCATACTGATGCTAAGCTAAGAAGCTCAGTATTTGTGCAAATCTCCGTTACTATTGTTTCATTATTGAACTGAACATGAACAAACATGCATGAATTGGAAACTCATCAGATTTTCAGTGTGAATGAATGAATTTTGCCTCAAAAAATGGATAGTAAATAGTATCTAGAGGTGATTACAAGTTACATTTGTATCGACAAATCATATTTCGCTGGTGTAAGCTTATTCAATCGAATAAAGGGAGCGGACAAATAGAATTAAAAGAAATTATGATATCCATATGGTTATAACGGTGAAAAATCAGTCACTAAGAACCAAAGCAGTAAGATACACAACTTTCTCTCTAAAATGTTTACAAGACGAGAAAATTTAAAGGCATTTACGGTTGGTTAGGAATAACCAGGTAGCATGATGAATTAATTCTTGAACAAAACGTTCAGTTTATGTAACTCTCAGTACATAAGCCTACCTACAGGCACCCTACCAAGTTTCTCTCTGAGCGAGTTTGTGGGTTTAAATGCCACCCTAATCCAAGCATTGTTAAGAATGCTACGCAAAATTTCTGATGTATCTTATTTATACGGCAACATTGGGAATTTTACTTAGAATTCTTAACAATACTGGGATTAGGGTGGCATTTCAACTCACAAACTCGCTCAGAGAGAAACTTAACTTTGTAAACTAAAAGATCCAATAGAGCCAATTAAGAAAAATAACCTAATCTATAAAACATCATGTAATGCTTGTGAGGTCAAGTACATAGGTCAAAGCAGCCGATATGAGTCAGTCAGAATAGCAGAACATGCAATGGTTGACCCTACTAAGATAAGTAAGTAATTTACAAAAAACTCGGCTATCGCTCTACATACCCTGACCCATAATCACATTATTATTATAGGGTGAGATGAGGTGACAATTCTAGGATCCAATATAGCTAGGTGGAGGGAGAGATTGATCACGGAATCTTTGTTCATTGAATTCATACCTAACAACACATGTGACAGGAATGAGTCATCACATATTGCAGATACATGGAGAATTTTACTGCCATTTAAGTGAATGAATGAACTGTTGGAGTATAAGAGAATTTTGAAAGTCGTATGATTACTTTCACGTGAATATGAGCAATAAATTCTGCTCGAATCGTCATCAAGTAAATTATACTATCACTGTGTGCTACAACAAACAATCCAATATAGTTTCTCTCATGTCAAATTCATGATATGAGAATAAAAAGATTTATATATTTCTGGTCAGCAAGAACCTCATACATAAAGAGACAGACATGGAAACGAGATTGAAATGTACTCAGCAATCTTGTGGACATCCACGTAGTTGAAAATAAACCACAGGACTTCGGTAGGTGAGGTGGGATTGGAACTCTTAACCCTCTGGATGAAAGCTAAATTCTTGAACCAATGAGCCACAGCCCCACCCAAGCTTCTACTCAACGGTGGACACAAGTAAACTATATTGATATCAGGTATCAGTGAACAGGATCAAGGGACAATGATGGTTAATTTGAAGCGCTTATTCAGACGATGCTCATGTGTATGCCTACACAGCTAAATGATGAAAACACTACGGCGGTTAACAGTCAGGAACTGGCTAGACAGCTATTAAAACAGGACAACGCCATCCATCTGGAGAAGCCTGGTGCCATCTCTAGTAAGCTGTAAAAACAGAGTTGAAGAATGTAACTGACTGCTGGCCGTTCACTCGGAATAGGTGGAATGTACGTAAGCGTATTCCTGCAGGATCCGAGCAGAAAGACGAGCCCAAGCAACTTAAATATAGACCAACAAGAAGTCCACGCAATAACCACAAGCAGCGGTGGGCAGCAAAGGCTACAGAGATGAAAAATGTTGTGGCAATAGGTAGGCACGTCTAAAATTAGTTGTGTATCTAGCCGATGTGAAATCTTACTTCATAACTGGCGTTTGTCGATGCTAAGTTTGAAAACAAACGGTGAAATGATTCAGCGCATTAATCAATTTACTTAATTTAGAAGTAGGATGATTGTCAGACTCATATCCTAGATTCAGAAACGTTGAATGAAAAAAGGGAAACTGCATTATTGACGGAGTTTTTTTACAATCACACAATTATAAGAAGGCGATTATGCTGGAAAGCAATCTAAAGTCAGTAACTATTAACACTGCGTACAATCACCGAGGAAAACGACCTAAGAATATAGTTTCTCGGAACTGGGTGCCTTTTTAGCTCTGCTTATACATGGTTTTACTATCACACTAACAAAGCTGATGCTAAACGTAGAGTCTAATTCAATGAGGCTGTGAACTTGTTTCAACCAGTGTAGCCGTAAAATGCATAACGACAGATAATGCGTTAACATGCCATATTACATCCTATAAATGTAGGCTGGAAGATGTTGAGTTATTATTATTATATTATTATTAGTCCCTTGGGTTCCTAGTGGAACATAGGGCTTCAGTAGCACGCCTCCAGTGACCTCTGTTCTCCGAGATCTTTTGAACCTGGTTCCACGACAGCCCAGAAGCTCTCATTTCCTCCTCGCATGACCTCCTCCATGTCACCCTCGGACGTCCAACTCGTCGCTTCCCATGGGGATTCCACTCGAGGGCCTGACGCGTGATGTCCTCAGTCGGCCTTCTCAGTGCATGGCCAATCCATCTCCACTTCTTCCTGCATATTTGTTGCGTGATAGGTTCTTGGTTGGTTCGTTCCCAGAGTTCCTTGTTGCTTATTTTTTCTGGCCATCTGATCTTCAGCAGCGAGCGTAAGCAGTTGTTGATGAATGTCTGTAGTTTATTGGAAATGCCTTTCGTGACGCGCCAAGTCTCTGAGCCATACAAGAGCACTGACTTGACGTTGGTGTTGAAAATCCGTATCTTGTTCCGCATGCTGAGTGCAGAAGATCTCCACACTGGTTTCAGGCTAATGAACGCCTGTCTTGCTTTTCCGATTCTGACTTTGACGTCCTCGTCCGTCCCGCCTGTAGTTGAAACAGTGCTTCCTAGATAAGTGAAGGAGGTTACTTCCTTCAAGTTTCTCCCGTTGACGGTGATTGGAGTTTGTTGTTGTTGTTGTTGATGGTGGTGGTGCGGTATCTTCATCACTTCTGTCTTCTCTATATTCACCTGAAGTCCTGTCTTCGCTGCCCTGCCTCTTCTGTCAACTTGTTAGTTTTTGCCTGCAGATCTTCAAGTTTATGTGACATTAGGCACAAGTCATCGGCGAAATCCAAGTCTTCTAGGTTCTTTTCCCCGGTCCAGTGTATCCCCCTCTTCTCGCTGCCTACTGTTTGCTGCATGATCCAGTCCACCACAATCAAGAATATCATGGGGGATAGTAGGCAACCTTGTTTCACTCCTGTCCTCACTTCAAAGGCATCACTGAGCTTCCCATTGTGGATTACTTGGCATGTGGCATCTTCATATAGTTGTTGAATGAGGCGGATAAAGGTTTGCGGTACTCCGTAGTATTGAAGCAGTTTCCAAATTACTTCTCGGTCGACGCTGTCAAAGGCCTTCTCAAAGTCGATGAAGTTGAGGTAGAGAGCTGATTGCCATTCTACGCTCTGTTCTATGATGATACGAAGCGTTGCAATTTGGTCTGCACATGATTTGTACTTCCTGAAGCCTGCCTGTTCCGGTCGCAGTTTTGAATCCAGTGCGTCTTTAAGCCTCTCCAGGATGATGCGGCTTAATATTTTACTTGGGGTGGACAGGAGAGTGATTCCGCGCCAGTTCTTGCAAGCACTGAGGTCTCCCTTCTTCGGCAGTTTGACAAGGTAACCCTTCTTCCAATCGTCAGGTACCTTCTCTTCCTTCCACACCTTCTGCAATAGTGGTGTGAGCATGTCCGCTGTTGTCTCTGCATCTGTTCTCAGTGCTTCTGGCGGTATTCCATCTGGTCCTGCTGCTTTCCCGCATTTCAGTAGCTTTATGGCGTTCAGGACTTCCATTTTCGTTGGGGGATTAATGTTCACTTGTAATTCAGCGGCTGCAGGTGGTATTTCTGGACGAAGTGCAGGTGGTGGTCGATTCAAGAGCTTCTTGAAGTGGTCGGCCCATCGTTTCCTCTGTTTCTCTTCTTTTGTAATTAAATTTCCTTCTTCATCTTTTATTGGTTTCATCTGTGTTGGTCTCGCCCCTGATAGCAACCTGGTTATTTGATACAATGTCGTCAGGTCTCTCCTACCTGCAGCCTGTTCTGCTTCACTTGCCAGTGTTTCGTAGAAGTGTCTTTTGTCTTTGCGTGCACTCTTCTTCACTTCTTTATCCAGTGTTTTATACATTGTGCTCAGTTCCTCTTGTCGTTGAGCATCCTTGCACTGGTTTATCTTCTGCTTCACCATCCTCCTCTCCTCTATCAGCTTCCAGGTATCTGTCGAGATCCATTCCTTGTCTTCTTTCTTCTTCCTTCCTAATACTGTTGTGCAGGTTTCTTTCCACATAGCTTTCAAAGACTTCCAGTGTTCTTCCACACAGGTTTCTTCAGGGATGTTGCTCGATGTCTCCCATTTTGTCTTGATGGCTGCCTTGAAGATCTCCTTTGTAGTTTCATCCTTCAGTTTCCGAGTGTTGTACTTGAATTGAGGTCTATCACCAGCTTCCTTGAAGGCTTTTAACTTGATTTGGAAGGTTCCTTGCACTAGATAGTGGTCTGAACCTACATCTGCTCCTCTTCTTGACCTTGTGTTAAGTAGACTGCGTCTCCATTTTCTTGAGATTGAGATAAAGTCGATTTGATTTTTAGTGTGTCCATCTGGTGAAATCCATGTCGCTTTGTGGATATCCTTGTGCCTGAACACACTGCCTCCAATCACCAAATCGTTGAATGCACAGAATTCTGCAAACAATTCTCCATTCTCATTCATTTCACCTAGCGCCTCTCGACCCATGGTTAGTTCTCTTCCCGTGTTGTCCCCTCCCAGTTTGGCATTCATGTCGCCCATTAGAATTTTGATATCGCCAACTGACGTCTTGTCCAGTGTTGATTGAAGTTGTCTGTAGAATTCCTCCTTTTTCTCTTGCTCTGCATTATTTGTAGGTGCATAACATTGTATGATTGTGACCTTTCTTCCTTTTGAGTTGAATCTTGCTGTCATGATCCTGGAGGAGATTGGTTCCCACTGCATGAGAGCCTTCGATGCTCTTGAGGACATCATGATAGCCACTCCCTCAGTGTGCTCGTGGTTGTCGTCTGGGTGACCGGAGTAGATTATTGATTCTCCAGTTGACAGTTTGGAGAGTCCACTCCCATTCCATCTGCTTTCGCAAATCCCAAGCACTTCGATGTGATACCTTCTCATCTCCTTTGCAATCTGGGCTGCCTTACTGGGTTCAAACATCGTGCGGACATTCCATGTCCCCACGTTTACTTTCGCTTTCATCGAGAGAAGACACATCGGCCAATTGGCTTCCCGAAGGCTTTCACCAACTGGCGTCATTTCGCCTCTCCGATTCCAGCGGGGAATAAGTTTGTTTTCATTTTTTATATTTTGTTTGTGCTTTGAAGTTTCTTTAGCGGTTAGATTTGTTTTACGGGGTAGGGTTGCTAGCCCTATGCCCAACCTTCCCTCTTTACCCGGGCTTAGGACCGGCTAGTAACTAGTAAACTAGTTAACCAGGCGAGGTTGGAAGATGTTGAGTGGCCAGATAAAAATGTGGTATTTATCTCTTGAAACTATCAACCGTTGATATGAAGATAAGTTTAGGTTTTCTTCCTGAGACACATAACATTTCGTAAACCAACTGCTGGAAAAAAGTAGTATATGGCTAGACGTTGATCATGAAGATCACTGAATTCGAAACATAGTACTTCTTACCGCTGTTTTTCTGTCGACTTTTGTCAATTTTTGTGTACTTTTGTTTTCCTTCTTATATGAATTTCCCTTCGTTTAGTTAGTAAGTATCGTAACTTGATCCGATGTACATTGATCTCAGTTCTGTTCATATCCTACTTAGGCTACTGGGGATGTAGATTGCTGGCTTCAGAGTCATGGGTCTCGACTTGTGCAAGCATATAGTATCACAGGCCGTAACACAACAATTGTGGTTCATAAACAGCGTATAAATACGTGTGTCAAAATGAATTAAATTAGGTTTTGAAACTAAACTCATGTTTATATAAGACCTTAGACCGCAAAAAACCGGAAATCTGGACCTGACATACATAGAACATATCTGAAAACAATGCAGCTGCAGAAGTGATTACTCTTTCTTCAGTCTGTAATGCAGTTCGGTCAGCTTTCAAACGAGATGAACGGCGAAAAATTCCCAAAAATTTCAAGTTGCGTTGAAAAGACTTCCTTCGTCTAAGCATTACCAATTGTTTTGTTGACAGATTAACGTCAGGATGCAAGAGACCTTGTTTAAACACAGTAGGATCGTTGCTAACTGACCCCAAAAGGCTCCAGCTTTACGGAAATGCAATATTAGGAAGAGGTGAAAACCAATTACATGGGCCACTGAAATAGCATTCCCTGCTATATAACAGTCAACAACCTGGAATTAAATGCAAAAATAAGAATGTTTCAACTCTATAGAATAAAGAATAGGTTACATTTCACTTCAAAAATGTGAACTAAGTTTTACTTTCCCTATTTTTTAATGATTCATTACCGCGTCAGTAACAAATTCCCTTGACTTTGTGATCAACTCAGTTTAAAACCCTACCTCAAAATAGTCCTGATGGTTAATGTGTAAAACCGTTCTGACACAAAATATAAACAAGTACAGAGCGAAAAACCCCCTCAGTTCTAACAACCATATATAAGATTCCATCTGAAATAGGTTCCTGACGGGTAAATCACACTGCTAGAGAATTAATATTTGACAATTTATGAGTTCATGAAGTTGTGTCTATGTCAATATCACTCGTTTTTGTTATTAGCATGATGTCGGAAGTAACTTTCAGTGTTTCAGTAATTGATTTACCACTTCTCTTTTAATCACGTAAACGTGGTCTAGGTAGTTTGAACCAGTGTAGAGATTTCTGATACCACAGACGAAAATGTGAAATCCCAAATAGTCTACGTCTATAACTACTGGGTTAGGCACTCCGGTCAATTTGCACACCTGAAGAGTTGCACCAGCCTCGACCTACAGCTGTGACCTTGACGTGGCGGTGAACTTATACATCACAATGACTAAACGAGCTACCCTGCCTGGAACGCTTGTTCCCTTGAAATTCTACAATGCCAGGAAGGTCTACTGGATAGTGGTAAGACGAAAGACGGTCATAGTTATGGTGAAAATTGCTACACTATGATGTGGATCCGAGGTCGAATCGTACCACTGGTTGGGGGTGGGAGAGCAGTATGGCGTTTGGCGAGGATGACAGACAGTATCATGTTGATGCTGCTTTTTTTATAGGAAGGAGGAGGAAATAGGAGAAAGCTGGCCTCCAAAATATCACACCCTTCTCTGTCCTACGGTTTCCCGATGCCAGTGACATAGGTTTTTCCTATCTAGAGTTAGAATAACCCAATCTCACATCAACAACACTCGAAGGGCTACGTGTGACTGGTAGATGTTCCATAGGATCCTTTTCTCTTTGAGATACCTATGCTCATCAACTGTCTCCTCCTTTGCCTTCACCTCGTGATACCAATATATTGAACCTCTTACACCTTCCACAACCCTTCATTTTGAGACCATTGCCAATGATCAAGGCCATCGACGACCCCACTGTCAATTTCATATTGAAGCTTTCAATGTGCGAACCTCATACGAAATCGAACAGTTGGCATCGCTAGTCACAGCTCTGGAATCTCGAGCTATGAGTGTACGCTGTGTTTCTGAGACACGTATACAGGATGTTAATCCAACCTCACCTGGAAATTGCGGCAAACCTTCAACCTGCGCTAGTATGGCACAAGTGTGTCTGCACCTAACTGGTTGTAGAAAACAGGCTGCGGTGAAGTGTGTGCTCGATTGAAAGATGAGAACGAGAAGTACGTATTTAGAGGGGAGACAACTAAACATCTATCTGAACACGACAGCGATCCCAATTCTGAGGAAATCTGGTATGATATTCAAGGGTTGAGACGATTGGTAACCAACATTCATTCAGTGGATTTCGCAACGTCATCTGAACTGAATAGTGCGAGAAAAGTAACCCACTCACTTACCTTGTGCACATCCATGCAGTAGGAAATGAGCCATACACATTGTGTGAGGGTTAGTGGTACTACCCGGCTGCCCAAACCTCGGTAGGTGGAGCTGGGCTCGGAACTAGGACCAATGGTTTCTGGTCATCTCCCTAAACCACTTAACTTTAGATCCACAATAATGCGAGAAGACTCCCTCCGGCTGACCCTGACCACAATGAGAATAGAAAGCAGCTCACACATGAATTTACAATGGTCTCAAGCAGCGATGGGTAGTGAAAGAGAAAGTGATAAATAAAATATCAGGATTAGGTAATGCCGGTGACTGTTTACAGTTATTAAAGTTGCCGGAACGAAGAAGTCGATGGTGAGTGGAACTATCACCGGAAAGGATGTGACTCTGACAACCTTTAAGAACAGGCGGCTATAACGTTGGGTTGAAGCCTTTGAGGCAGAACTCCAGTGGCCCATAACAACACTTCAGTTGAATAGTATCCAGTTCAAACCTAAATGGGAAGTAGATGTTAATCCTCCAATAGTCCTTGAAGTTTACCAGGCTGTTTTAAACCTGAGAAGTTGCAAAGCGAGAACTGACGGTTTGCCGCCAGAGGATTTGAAGCAAGAAGGTAATAAATCACTGAGTAGAGTTATGGAAGTACTGGGCAGGGTATGAGAATCCGAAGTAGTCCTGTCAGACTGGCCCACTTCACTTATCTTTCCAGTTTACAGTGAACGACAGAATTTTTTTTCTTATCATATCAGGAGAATAAGTTTAAATAACATAGCATCCAAGATCCTTGTGTCCAAAGTTATCCAACGCCTAACTGGAGCTAGAGAAAAACAGCCAGGTCTAATACCTGAACGAGGATACATCCATCAAATCTTCGTCCTTCGGCAGGTTCTTGGACACAGGTCCACTTGACAACAGCCAACACGTGCCATACTTCTTGACCTAAGGTTGGCACTCAATTTTGTCACCCATGAAGTGGTGTGGTAGTGTCTAATTGCGAAAGGAGTACCGAACAAGTATAGGAGGCGAATTTAAGCTCTCTACAAGAACTCATGCAGCCATGTTAGGGCCTATGCTCAGTTATCATCCGAATCGACGACAACTAGTGGTATCTGTTAAGGATGCTCACTGCTATACAGTGCATAAAGGACATGACCCCAGGTAACTCTCAATTCACTGGGATTGATCTACTCTCTAGAGGGCATCTGTTTGAATCAGAATACACAGACGATATTGTTATGCTAGATGAAGACGCTGTTAAAATACAGGGTCTTTCGAACCCATTGAGCAGAAATATGAGTGTTTCGCATCTCTTAAATCTATGACGACGCTTCAAGACTCCTCTACAACTTCTCCCAGTTTGATGATAAGGAGTGAAACGGTAGAATATGTCGAACATTTCATTTAATTGGGTAGTTGCATCAGTCCGAACGTGCTGGTCGTTGACGAAATCTCATGTTGGATACAGAAAGCATATTTGGCTTTTGGCAACTTGCCACATCTCTGGTGACGAATGATGAGATATTCGAGCAACTATCAAACGACAAGTATATTGCGGTGCAGTCTGTTCTGTTCTGCTAAACCATTGTAAGATATGGCAATTAAAAGTAGAAGATATGATGTGACTATACACTTTTGATTGTATCTTTGTAGTATTATTCGCTTATGGTGTCAAGAAGTTCCAATGTTGAGAGAGGTTAAGTGAAAGGTAGTGGCCAAGGAATGGAAGTTATCTGATGTTGTTTTGAAGCCAGTGACTGAGGTGGGCTTGACATAAGTTGTGCATGCCGACCCACCATCTACCTTGATGTGAAATACCATGAGAAATCGGATTAGATTGGAGGAAAGCTAAGGATAGCCAAACTATAACATGACACCAGTTCATGAAGTTTATAATTGTTGCCGTGTAGGGATATGTAGACTGCCTGACTGGGGGTCCGTGAGACAGCAGGAATAAATGGTTGAGGATTCTTGGTGACATGGTTAGAAATCGGTCACAATGGAGTATATTTGTTCGCTGCTTTTAGTTTCCTAAAGCTTAGATGCTTTGACTAAAATTCATTTTCAAACTGCTTTTACTCCCGTACATCTTTGTCTACTTTAATATCGATGTTTTACATCCTGTCGTTTTCTCATGTTATTGTGGAGTGTTGTAACTTGAACTGATGGACTTCTGTGCGACATTCTATGTTGGTTTTGTTCGTCTGTCTGCCCGGTATATTAGAACCGGAAAGTCTCAGTGTGATATATCCAAATGCTTAATAAAAGCAAAATTTACTACGCAGTAGAGCGTTCTATTCTACTATATGACAGTAAGGTTCGATCATTGAAATGGACGATATTTTTAGATTACAGACACCTCGACTCACAAATGTTCGAATATAATTGAGAGTGAATATAGTCTGCTTTTCAACTTGAAATTATACTTTCATAGCATTTACTGAGGAGATTCACTTCACCACCTTTATGTAGGCTTTTTTAGAGGAGTGGAAGGGGATTTTTAGCGCTTTTTAGTGAGTCGATTGACGGAAAGTTCACCCGATGGAGCGTGAAGACCGTAATTCAAAACCACTGGTTTGCATTAACTTTAGAATTTTGAAAAAATGGATAGTTTGTGAATCTGTTTTGAAAACCTGTCACCGTAGGATGCCACTTTGTATCGTTTCACTATCTTATGAACTAGATTTAAAATCACAAACCCTAAAAGTGGTCGCACAAGAGAACTTTGTCTTAAAGTTTCAGCATACGGATAGTATCATGGTCAACAAAAAAAATCATGAATTGAAGCACACTTTTGATGTCTTGTTGACGAGGCGTTCGGGATTTAACTAACGTAAGTCATCCTAATGGTTTCGGATCACTACATAAAAGTAGTGAAAACACCGGGTAAGTAGCGCGTAAGGTAATATATCAAACTGTTTCAGAAACACCCCATCCCATGAAAGCTCAAAAAAGCTGATTCCTCTTAGAGAATATTACCCTACCTCTTGTAGCGCAAAAAATACGTGTAGATCCTGAATTTTTATTTCTACAATTCACATTACATCTTTTTGATAGAGGCTTACCACCTCACAGGTATTCCTAGGAATTCCCAGTTATCCTTCACAAATAAGTTTATGTGTATGGATGCGAAGAAAATGCGCTTTCCTGCTTGACTACGCTATTACCTTTCTTTGCCATCTAAGCGTGCACTATATCGCCGCTTATGTGAGTTACGATATAGTAAGGAGTAGTGATGTAATAT